AGGGTTATTAATCGGTTAAGGGATTAAACTAAACGGATTTGCTAGGGTTTAATTTTTATTAGGAAAAACCGATCGGTTTAAACTTAAACCCTATCGATTTAGGATTAGAATTTATCGGTTTATAAACGGTTTAGGTGGATCGATTGGTTTAGAGTTTAAGGGGTCGATTGGTTTAGGATTTAGGAGCTTGCATGGACCGGTTTTAGGGTTTTCAAGGATCGGATCTAAGATAAATAACCGATCGGTTTAGGATTTAAACCGATCGATCTCGGTTTAACGATAGACAAACCAAAACGATTTTAGATCTAGGGTTTTGCAAAGATTTAGGTTTCGGTTTGCAAGGAATTTTAGTGTTTGGTTTAGATGATGCTAGGACCGATCGGTATAGGGTTTGAACAAAGCATTAGGGTTTAGGTTTTATATGATAAAACCGATTAGGAAAATAAAACCAATTAGGATTTTGACAAGAAGAAAGAGGATCGGTTTGGTTATGGTTTTAAAAACGAAAAAGACGATGAAGAATCATGAAAAGAACCGATCCATATTAGGGTTTTCAAAAAAAAAAAAAACCAAAATTTTGATTAGGATCTATAGTTTTAGATAATACCTTTTCGCCAAATGGATTTCTGACCGGCTTATAATCTGGGAGCTAAAGACCACAGATATCTACTGGAAACTCCTGAGAATGATGGCCAGAAGGGAGGACGAACAGCCGCTTGGAAAGAATCACCCGCTAAGGTGGGATAGCGCCGATTGTTTTGAGTCTTGAGGGCGCGTCTGGTGTCGGATTGAGGAGCGGTTTTCACCACTAGATTCGTCTTTTCCAGGGCTTCAAAATGATATGTAGATCGCCTTCTAACTCCATGTATTTTGAGAGGTATGATCGTTTGAAGTTGAGTTTCGTGCTGATAATGTATTAAGGGAAAAACTCTTATCTTATTGTTTCCATAAGCAGTGTATATATACATTACATAACTAATGTATCAGAAACCCTAATGGGCCATGAGACATTAACCTGATGGTTAATGGGCCGGTTACTAGAAGTCCATTTGTTTATAACATTTGGGAATTTCTTAGGAATCTTATAAATTATAATCCAAATTCGAAAAAAATGTAACGATATACAATACAACCAGGGTTTTGTGTCAATCTTTAGAACCACGCCCACCAAAAAAATGATCTATCCATTCACCAAATGTAGCAAATGCCAAAAGACCGGTAATCGCAGGAAGCACAAACCGAATCAAACCAAAGAAGAAACAGCGCCGTGCCCAATACGGAACCCAAGTGTTCTTGTCACGACGACTTAATCTTGTCCCTTGAGTCACAGTGACTGGACCATAGATCAAACCATACACAACATCCGTGAAGACATTTGCAAGGAATAGCAAAACGCAAAACACTTGCCAAAGATATAGCCAGAGGTCACTGTTACCGCCCAATGTCTCGACGCAAAACTCTCCCGCTAAACCGCAGACAATACTGAGGAAAACAACGATGAAAGTAACCGGCCTTGTCTGCGACGAGCGGCTCATTATCAAGTAAGTGAAGACGAGGATCATTAAGACACCAAAATACTTGAGCCATACTCCAAGCCGACAGATCAAGATGTTTATAGACTCTGTGTTTAACCATGAGAAACCCCACCAAAGATAACTTTTTTCCTTGGATGGTTCGCATATTGAAGTAGCTCCCTTGATTTTCTCTTGTGAGAAGACGGAAGCGCCGTATATCATACAAGCCACCATGATGAAGACGCTAACGCCAAGCCAGTCCATGGTTTTTACGACGAAATCGTCTCTTCTTGAATCTTCTAACTCGGTTTTGAATTTCTCGTCTTTGAAAGCAGCTTTCGAAGCAGCCATCTCTAGCTTGGCTTTCTCAAGGTTGTTTGATTCCGAGCTTATTGCTATCTTAGTCATTTTTAGACCAATCTCCATGGTTTTTAGGTCGTTTGCTCGTGCTTTCTCTTCTAAACGACGTCGTTCGAATGTGGTCAAGGACATTTCTGATCTTTCTAGGGATAACGTAGAGTTTCTGAGCTTCTTCGTGCAGGACAATCTCATTCGAGGTCGTTCTTGCACCGCCTTGAATTACTTCATAAGCAGAAGTAGCAGATGAAGTTTCCATTGCGGATAGCTCGGTGTCTGAGCATTCGTCTATTGTAGAAGTCGCAACGTTATTATTGTTTGAGTGTTGCGGAAATGTGTATTCATTGGTCAATTTGAGGATACTTAGAGTACTCTTAAATGATCTCTCAAAGTTGGTCGCAAAGGAACCAAGCTTATCACCATAGACCTATAAATCACATCTTTACATAAACAAAAAAAACTTATAACAAAAAGAGTGTTTAAATTGAATAAATCGAAAAAAATCGGGTTGGCTTACATTGGCTAAGGATTCTTTGACAGCGGAAGTAGAAATCTACAGAGCATAATCAGTGAAAATTTGTGTATCACTACCCCAAAAAAGAAAACAAATTATGGAAAAAATAGAGATTGAACAGAAATCATTTGAAAATTCAGAGTACTTACTACAGCCAGATCATCGACATGAAGATTTTGACCCGCAGCATTTCTCTGAAGAACCTAAAGAACAAGGACAAAAGAAAACAGTAAAAATTACAGAGCAATGCAAGTATATGATTCTTGGTAATGAGTCAGGTTGGAGTTTGGTAAAATCACAATCAGAATTATATATTCAATACCAAATGTTAACAAAAGAAAAAGAAAAAACTATATATTCAACAGTCAAGAGAATTCAACTGAGCAATGGCTGCTTCTCTTCAGAAGTTTTCTATTGAGTGTCTCTGACTCGGATTTGAACAGTTGAACTTCTCTCCAATGTCCAATTTAGAGTAGATTCAAGTGTTGCTTTCTTAAAGCTCACTTATGAATTATGATATTCAGCTTCCATTGACTGACTCTGAATCGAATTTGAAGAGAAGATTTCAAGTAGTGGTAATTTGTTATTGATCCATCCTTAAAGAAGATATTCAGATTCATGCCTTTGTCTCTGATTCAGATTTGAACAGAAAGATCCTCTCCTCAAGAAAGCCTAAATTAGAAGATTTAGGTCAAGATACAAACTCTTTACATAGAACCCCTAACTTAACTTTCAAGCGAGGTCAACCATATGAACAAAAGTGAGATAACGCATAAAAAGAATATAAACAGAGCATATGATATAAACTATAAAGAATGGAATATTGATCGAACCAGATTAGCAACCCAGAGGACGCGCCAAGGCTTCGGCTTGTCGTTCCCCAACGCTTCTTCGAGCCATACCTAACCGCACCGTAGGGTTTCGCAATCTATAAGCCACTCTCGAAACTCTGCGAGTATAATTAGGGTTAGAAGATGAAGAACATGAGGATGAAGCTTCGTCGTTGTTCATTGTCTTCTTTGGCTTAAGGTTTCTCTTTTCTAAAGGCGATGGCTTTATCTTCTTCGTCATCATGTCTTTAAGTTCGTGGCAGAGGTTCTCTGACTAATCAGTGATTTTATTTTGGGATTCTGGCGAAGGGGAGACGAGGAGGGCGTCCATAACCTAAATGTCACGCCACCAAAAACCGAGGGTTTCGAAAAACCTTTTTTGAAAAGGTCTTCGTTTCTTAAATTTTGGGTCTTTGTTTGGCCCCGCGGGCTATTTATTTAGAGCATCAGTAATGGTGAATCCATGAGGAGTTCATCCTAAATATTTTATTATTAAAAAAATTTTGAGAAGAAAAAGAAAATAGAAAAAAATAAAAAATCGAAGAAGAGAAGAAAGAAGAGAGAGAAAAAGAGAAAAGTTGGAGAAATTTTTTTTCTCCCAAGCCCAACAAATCAAATTTGAACACGTATGCATGAACTCTAAATTAAGACATGGTTTGATGAATGTTGGGCTTTATTCATTTATTTTTAATCAAAAAACTCATGAACCTCATTTTTAAAACCGCCGATACAGATGGTCTTATATGCTGGATCGAAACCTCAACGCCCTAATGAAGAGAGATTGGACCATGGAATAGTTTGGACCAAAAAAAAATAGTAGGACCTTTTTTAAACTGATCAAAAATTCTTGTTCACAAAAGATAGAGAAAATCAAGATCCATTTAAAAAATATCCTTGGATTTTATGAATTTATGAAGGGCAACCATTGGAAAAGAGAGTAATATTATAGTATCTATGTGGAAGAGATCGGAGACATGTTCAAACCATTTCAGAGTAAGAAGCAAAAACAGAGGATCAAACGAGATTAGAAAGAGTTGAAACTTGGTGGCTAGATCCGTGAATCTTAGATTTAGCTATTTGAAAAATATATCTATTTGACTATTTCATTCAACCGTTTGAAAAAAATATATTTCATTCAAGAGTTTTTGTTCTACACATAATATATCTGAGCAGTTTTAGAAAATTATATTATTTGGTTATAAAAACGAGCTCGGATAGAGCTGAAGCTTTGTAAGACTTTAGGACTCACAACTCTTTGTTTTGTAACCTTCTTTCACTCATAATCTTCATAATCACATAAAAATGCTACAGAGTACAGAATATCACATCATTTTACTATCAGTTTTTGTTTTTATACAAAATCCGAAGAAAATGCTTTGAGACCTCTTCATCATAATTTTTTGTATTATAACACTTTCATTTATAACCGTATTTTAACTTCTAAAAAATGCTGTTGAAAATACTCATTAATACCATCGAAATCACAAAGAAATTAGGTTGAATCCTAATTTTTCTGCTGAGTTCCAACGACCACATAAAAACTGAAAGCAGTCGTCACTCGTCATGTGGATAACAACATGAAGAATTCCAAGTATCCTTCCAAAAACCAATACACTTGACTTAGTCGTGTGTTTTTTTTTTTTGCGTTTTCCATCATATAAAAAAATTACTACTCAAGAAGGGCCTAGTGTTAGAACAATTGGGCCGGGCCGAAAATAAGATATCAGGCTATTCGCAGCCTCTCAGATGGTAGTATACTAGTGTATATCGTTCCATTGGAGTCTTTCTCGAACAGATTCGCCGTAAAAACTTCCAGGAGAAGTCGTTCATCTTTTGCAGTTTCTCGATTACTTCTGATAATGGCGTTGAATACAGGACCCATTTCTGTCTCAAGGATCATAGCTTCTTCCGAATCATCTGTCTCCAGTCCTAGTCAGTTCCCAAACAAACAAATAAAAATTCGGCAGCTTCGGTTTTACATTTCTTTGTTTCTAAACCCTTTTGTAGTCTAGGGTTTTGTTTGGCTGCCCAGAAATCGAATACTCTGTTCCTTTATTTTCCTATTGCTTCGGAACGGATTTGGACATTTAGTTAGCTTCTTTAATTCATTTTAAGGGATTAGAATTTTAATGTGTCTGTGCGATTTCGCTGATTGGTTTATGTTTTATCTTATCATCATTTGAATTCTGGAATTTCGAATTTTGTTTGAACCATTTCTAGTCGCAAATTTTGTTATAAACATAATCTCCCTCCTTGACACACTTCAATGGCATGATGTGAAAAAAGATTGCTGATGAAATGTATCATGAAGTCAGGAATTTCTGTATGTTTAGGTTGTTTTCCTTGCTTCACATTTTCTAGAGGAACCCATCAAAGTATACACCTTTTGCTTCTGAAATTGCATCAAATTATAATTATCATGTTCATGCTTCGATGGTGTTTGGCTAATCTGTTGAAGTTTCCATTTTCCGGCTAGCTTCCTGTACACCTAAAACTGATGGAAGCTCTAAAAGGAAAAGGTGTGAGGATGATTCACAATCATCAAGCTCTTATGCAGAGGAAACAATGTCTGGCGAAGATGATCAAGCTACCAACAGGAAAGGAGCTCTGTCTGTGTTACAGACAATTCGGTTGATTAAAGAGACGGACTTGGCTATGAAAAAAAACTGTCGAAGATGAATATACTTGCCAGTCTCATTTCCAAAAAAAAACCACTATCTGACTATGAAGAAGCTCTAAAGACGAAGCTTATCACAGACATGTTGGCTAATTGGTGATCTCATCTCTGTTATTTGAATCTTTGAAGTTGTGTTTTAGGTGTCCTGTTTGTGTTTCAGCTTAAGTTGTTGTTTGTTTTATTTTAATTGTTTGTGATTTAGCTTTGTATGTTTCATGTTATGTTTTAATTTAATGAAACGGATTGGTCTGTATAAACATGCCCGATGAAAAAAACCAGACATCTTTGGGATTTTTTTGTATAAATTCATTGGGCATGTACATCGGTTATTATGGCTAATGAAAAAAACCAGACATCTTTGGGACTTTTTTGTATAAACTCATCGGTCATATACATTATCAGTATACGTCCGGTTTGTTCTCTTTGCTGCGAGAACTTGTTCACAGCTCATCCGGATGTAGGTACCCTTCTCTGGAAGATTTTCATCGGTCATACTGTCTTCCAGAACATAAGTCGCTCTGCAGCTATGTCTCGAGTACCTATCTTCTCTCACGCCCTGAATCCTCATGACGTCATACCTGTCTCCGACGTGACTAAGCTCTCATCTATGTAACAAGGTGGGTAATGCAAATCGGACCACATGTATCCAATGACTTCCGAGGAATTGAT